CATACACACACAGGTTACCAAATAAGGAGTGATAGTGACGCGTAGAAAAACCGGAAGCTGCGTGAGGCAGAGTCAGACCCACATTTGCGCAGCGTTGCGTTCACAATACATAAATTAAAAAAATTCCTCAGGCCAGCAGGCCACTTAACAGGCCAGGCCATCGGGAAACCTCCCGGTGCTCCCGATGGCCAGTCCGGGCCTGCGGGTCACTCATTACTGATCCGCGAGCTGCATGATACTCACGAGCTGTCAGGAGAGGGAGAGAGCGCTCCGTTTATTATTCCTGTGTTATTGTAAGTTACTGTACACTTTTGAATAGTTAATCTACTATAATTAGTTTGTTTAATATCTAATCATATCAATTTGTTTTAAAGCTCAATAAATAAGAAGAGCTTTGACCGGCACTTTTCAAATTTTGTCCGGAAGATTTCAACTTTAACGGACATGTTGACCAATATATCTCAAATAATGTATGCACTGTCATTTCCCCACGTAAACATAACAGTCTGCAAAGAGACGGTTGTCTCCTGTGCGCTCCACTTCCTCCTTGGCGCAACGGTAACTTTCTCAAAAAAAAATAAGTCGGGATAACGGGTTAGTTTCTTGTGCACACGAGATACTAACCCGTTATTCCGACTTTCTTTTTTTTCTCTGGTTTTTTTTCCATGTGCCTTTAGGGACTCCGTAGGAAAACAATAAACAGGTGTATGAATATTTGGTGTCAGTCATACTTATACATTAACTTCACATCTAATAATTGGTCAACAATTCAGCATTCTTCTTATTTGTATTGTTCTAATGCAAATAAGGCAACAAAAACAGGTTTTAAGATAAGATGGACCTTATCTAATACCACTGGGGAAAATAAGGAGTTTAAAAGCAGCAACAGAGTACGAGTGAAAAACAGGACAGTACATATTCACACAAGGTAAACATTTTTAAATTAAAGTAATTGTACAGCAACTGTTCAAACAAGATATCACAACAAGGTCAAATGTTGATCATTTGAATGAACATATTTAAATATATCAGTTCTAATTGTTAAATATATTTACATGCAAGTGTGACATAATGTGTGTTATAATCACTGATTGGATTTAACAGGATATTGTTTGCCATGTGTAGAGGTTCAGCACTACCAGTAACAAAGGATATGATGCTCCTTATTCAATCAAGAAATTAAGTTTTGCATACATTCCTTTTCTGATGATGGTTGAAACTAGATAAACAAGACCCCTATTTGAATATTGGACCGTATCTTCTGAAGTGTCACATGTACAGGCTTAGCACGCTATACAAGCTTATCATAGTTGGACTTTGGGTTTCCACCATTATCTAATCTACCTTCATCAAAAGAAGCCTCTCAAAGAATAATGACACTTCTTGTTACATTACCATGTCAGCATTGTGTTAATGTAGGCTGAAACTGAGTAAAGAGATTAGGCCTTAGCACCACAAAGAAAACAGTGGTGTGGGCAGGGCCACAGCTGCAGTACATTCTGTCTTTCCAGAAGAAACCAGTTTATCTTCCCTTAGACGCTCTTTTACCAGGGCTATTCTGAGGAGTGTAACCTAGTGAGCAGGTTCCGGGGTTAAGAGGATTTTTGCCCACTGACCCCTCTGTACGTCCACGTGGGATAGGATTAAAGGAAAAATCCACCGACAGAATACTCAAACGTCATGTCTCTGGACTTTGAACATGAATAACTCTTTCCAATAAAGAAAGCATGAAGCCAATTTAATCAATGTTTTAAAAGACCATACAGCCGTTTTGATTTCTGTCTTATATAAGTTGTTGACACATATTTTTCTCTGCAAATAATAAAAAGTAAACAAAGTAGTGCTGTGACTAAAGCTTGATTGCACTTCACTGTCAATGTCTAAACTTAATACTTTATCAGGAGTTACCGTCTGTTTTTCTGTCTGGCAGAGAAACTTAAATTCTGGCCAACAAGAGCAAAAGAATGTGAATTGTTTTTCAGGGTGGATCTTGCCCCGAAGCATGCCTGAAACTCATCTGAAAGCAGGGAAGAGACTCCCAGATGTCACAGATTACTTGTTGATATCAGACGCTTTTTCCCATAGACTAGGCAATTAAAGAAAATTCACTTTGAGCCTCAACATGGTAGTAGTCAGTATAGCAGGCACTTTTCCCCTCCCCATTTTACACCACCCTCTCACTGGCCTCTTCTTCGTCAGGCTTCATAAATGTAAGGCTGTTCTGCACTGCTTGAGGGCCATGTTGCCAATCTTAAGTGCGTGAATATCCTTCATCTGAATTTAAACCGAAACATTAAATAAGTATGTTATTATTGTGAAATATAAAAAACGACTTGTATCAAAATTACTTTAGCTTTAGAGGTAGACGTACAAGCAAGTTCTCATTTTTGTGGCAAGAGAAAGTGCAAAACACTTCAAAGACATGCATGATGGTGGAAAGACACTAACATCGATACAGTCCGTTACATATTCAAATTACTTGAATATGTAAACAACTATTCATTTATTTTTATATTCCTCCAGAATAACCCATAATATAGCACAACATAAAACCATGTATTTTTATTTTGCTGCCTGCTTTGACTGGGATAGGGATGAATAGGGATTTTACTTTCTTTTTTATAAATGTTCAATAGATACAAAGTATAAATGTTGTCTTTTTCAAATCTTGGCTACCTTTCTCAGCCTGCTTTGGAGATCTAACGCTCCCTGATGGCCAAAATTCAAATGCGAACACGTGAACTACAAGTGCTGACTGCCTTCTCCACATGTACAGGATTGACTGGCGCAACATGTCCGTAAGCAAACAAACATCTTTGGAAAGTGCTGAAGCTTTCGACTCCAACATCATAAGTACACTTCAGCACTACAGAGCACATTTTCAAGCTGTGGGTGCTGTGGACAGAATCCCATTTAAGGCAAACTGTAGGCTGCTAATTGCTTAAAGTAGTATTATTATCAGTGCTTACAATGCTAAAGGTTGTAAAAACTCACCAGCTAAATGGTCAGTTACCAGTTAATCCGTCCTGTAAAGATGCACTTTCCCGTCAGCCTGCCAGCTTTTGCCTTAAAAAAACCACAAAGAAAAAAGGATCAGCTTTAAACACATAACCAGGATGATATTTTCGCTTCAAAGAAAGAAAAAAAGAATATATCAGGGGCCTTACTTCAAAGCCTTTGCACAGATCCACCGCTGTAGGCTTATCGGTGCACGAAAACAGAAAATAATATTTAAAGGTCCCATGTCATGCTTTTCAGGTTATTACCCGTCTCCTTGTGTGTTATGAAGGTTTTTCTGCATGTAAACGGTCTGCAGAGTCACAAACCCTCAAAGTACACCCTGTAGCGAGTAAAACTCACAGAAAGGACCTAACACAGAAAAGACCTGTCTATGCTGCCCCAGAACGCCTTGTTGGACATTTATCTGTTTCCATTGTTTTCTTCCTGGGTACAGTGACGTGCCCATACCCAAATGGACCCATTGGTCAATCCGGGGAGCTCCTCACACACACACACTCTCTCTCAGCGGCGAAACTGTGAAGCGCTGGGGTGGGGGGGTGCTAGTGTAGCGTTGCAGCGGCGAAACTGTGGCGCGCTTATACTGTAGGTGCACCGCGTTTGGGGGTCCGGGGAGGGTGCGGGTGCTAGTGGAGCTGGGGGTGCTGCAGCCCCTTCAGCAACCCCCCCTTCCCGCGTTCATTCGCGATGTCTCGCAGCAACCAGGAAATGAACCCAGCTCACACTGTCCGCTCCTCGCAGCAGCGAGCCGCACAACGTCCCGCCAACACGGCACCCAGACCTCACGCAGAATTCTCATCTGTTTGTCCTTACTGGTGTCTTTCTGGTTGCTAACGCCATTGTAAACACATAAAACATGATGATGTTCCGCTGTAACGGTGGTAGACTCATCAGAACAGAGTGGGCGAGCTGACCAATCAGAGCACACTGGGCTCACAGGAGGGGGCAGGAGCTCCAACAAGCCGTGTAGGACAGAAAGTGAAATACACATACTATACAGAGATGCTGTATGGGAAACCAATGTGAGTTGGGAACATTGAACAATGTAAAATCTATTCTAGTAGACCTCAACCATGGAATTATGATCAGTGGAAATGCCAAGACATGGGACCTTTAAAAAATATCTGTATGATGTGTTTGTAATATTGCTTTACGTGTATTAGCCCTTTCATCATGTAACCTTAAATAAAAACTAATAATGTTTATTTCATTTTAACAGCTCAATCAGTAATTAAATAAAAACCATCCAATTCAACTTTATTCAGAGTGAGGAATAGAGCAGCTGTTGCTTAGGTATAACTTATGTAATATTTTAGATTTGATAGTAGAAGCTTAATTGGGAGATTCAGTTAGTAGGACATAATGCCATCTCATACAACTGGGGAAACCATCCAGGCAATTGAGGAAGGATTCAAGATAAAGTTGAAGCCAAGAAGTGCAATTACTGAACTCCAGTAAAGTATAGGTGCCATTTGGATCTCCCTCTTCCTTTGGATAAGCATCTGGCTGCTATACTTGGAGCACTTTCACTGTCAAAAACAGGAGACCAAGACCTTGGGCAATTAATGAAAGCTTTGCTAGTGGGACTAACCCAGGTAAGAATAGGGCAAATGATGGCCCATTCTCCGACTTGCAATGAAT